CCTGGTTGTGTGGAAGGAATGTAAATAGAGATCACTCTATTTGCATCAATACCCCAGGTTGTGATGGGTTGACAGAAAGGCTGGGTAAAGACCTTACGTTAAAAGGTATTTCCAGATGATCTGCAAAATTGCATGTGCACACACACCAGCGAGGAGGGCAGACTGCTGTGCAGCAGATCTTGAGTTAGAACAACCTGCTGAGCATATTGGAGGAGGGGGAGTGGAGAAGAGAATGGATGAGGAATCAGCAGCTGGGAGCTGCCRTAATTCACACACAGGGAGATGAAAGAACACGGCCAGCAGGGCTAAGGAGGCACAGCACAGTGGGGCTCGTGCTGARCCCACCCGTGAGTCATTATGTTAGAGCATCCCTCAGGGATGAGGGTGAYGGATAACCTTTGGTATTCCCAGCCCAGGGAGCTGACAGTGCCRCAGCTCCCGCTGCTTACAAAGGTCCTGATCCCAACTGTGTTTGGCTGTTAGCATCAACCACCCCTGGTGAAATCAAAATCAGCTGAATGGCTCTTCCAGGGTGAAACCAAAACCAGAAGCAGCACACGGGGCACGCTCAGCATGTTGTGAAATCCATGTAGTGTCTCTGCAGGATGGTCCTGGGGTCAGGTAGCAGCTTTCATCTGTTGCTGACGAGATGCTACGCCGAGGCGCAGCTGGTGAGGGTCTGGCCTCATGCAGGATGGTGTGCCAGCTCTGTATGGCTGAGCACGTTTCTCATCTGCATTTCTTGACAGTAAACAGAAGTGACTTACTGAGCCAATTAGAGTGGGATGGAGTAATTCGATGTGACTGAATGCCACATTTCACAGATCGCCTGGTAATGATGGGGGCTAGGATAGGGAAAGGATCTGTGGAGCTTGTCCCCCACAGTGAAAAGCTGCCCCCCTTCGCTAATGAGTAACTCGAGGAAGGCTGTTTTGGCAGTGCCCATACAGTGACCCTCCTCTCCCACTCCATCAGCAAAGGCACAAAAAAAGAGAAACACCTGTCAGTCCTTGTCCTTCACATGCTCAGTACTTTGTAGGAGGTGCGGGTTCAGTTTCTTATTTTCTCTCTTGACAAATACTCTTGACAAAATGTCTCATTTCACAGGGCTGCCTGTCAAACAGGAGGAAAACAAAGGGATTGTGCTCTGCCTCTGTTCCTCCTTTCCCTGTATTCCTTAGAATTACCAAAGAGTTTACTGTTCATGCTTCCAGCACAGTCTGGACAATTGTGGAACAGTGATGAGAGAAGAGATGGAGAGCCAGGGCTCATCTCCCAGACAAGTGCTCTCATCATTAGGAACATTGTCAGGCTCATCCTTTTGGCTTTTCTACACCAAAATCATAGAGTGCCTTGGGTTGGAAGGGACCTTAAAGATCATCCAGTTGATTTCCTTTAAGAGGTGTTCCTTCTGCATGAGGAGATGAGCTTGCAAGTGTAACAGCAAGCTCCCTGAAAGCCACGAAGAGATAAATCCAAATCAAAAGAACTCCCAAAAGATACATATTGGTTGCTTGAAAACATCATGGCTGTCCAAACTGGCTCATGAATCCTGAGGGCCTGAGTCATCCCTTCCTGCTGATACCATGGGTAAAAGAGGAAAAGGGCACTGGACTGAAAATCAGCAAGGGAGACATACAAGAGTGGGATCCAGTGATGAAAACTGAAAGGAGGGTTGGAAAGAAAGTTCTCAGCATCTCCCTGAGAGTAGTTCAGACAGCAGGAATCTCACTGGCTCCAGAGAGCGCTGCTGTATGTCCGTGTCAGTGGGGAGCCTTTGGCTGTCCRAGCAGCATCCCCAGCCGCCAGGAAGGCTGACCAGGATGTAACCTGTGTGAGTGGGTGTCTGGAGGCCAGGAAGCACACAGGGCTCCTTGTGCTGTGCGTCATGTTTGGGCTCTGTACAAACCACCTCTTCAGCAGACGCAAACACTCCCAAGTAGATGCAAACTTTCCGGATTCTCTTCTGCTTGTGGTTATCTCCCCGCTGTGGCGTGATGGGGAAGGAGCAGGGAGGCTGCAGGGAGATGTGATTGATGGGTGTTTGCTGCGAGTGTTCCTCTGCTGGGAAATGCCCCTGTGCCCCYGTTGTTTTTGATTTCTCCTYGCAGATAGCTCARCTGAACACACAGTTAGATTGGGACYGCTAATAGAGTGTGCTCGCTGTCTGGGAGCAGCTGATAAAGTACTCATGCTGGGTTAAGATTTTCCAGAAAAGAGATAACTTTAGCAGATGGCTTGGGCTGAGTCCTTTGGCTTCAGCTTTTTTATTGATAGATGAAAACAGTACACACGACCAAGCTATGGAAAGCTATAAAAAGTGTCCTTCCTTACCCTGCTTTTTTAACAGTTCCTGTGGTGATAGTTTCCCTCCTTGTCTCTTGTGTGACTACAATAGACACTAGTCCTGCTCTTCAGCCTTCCTTGTACACTTTTTGTATTGAGGACCCCTTTTATCTCCAGCATCCTCTACTCACCCTGAAGAGATGAAGGCAGCCCTTCCAGACACAGGTTTTCAATCTTTTTTCCTCCCACACAGCTCTCTTTTCCAGTGGGTTCATGCAGCCACATAATGGTTTCCAAAGAATCCATTCTAAATTTCCAATATTTAACATCAGATTTTCTGGTCTTGGAAACATGAGGCTSTTGCCAGCCCTAAGTTAAGGGATTGATTGCACAAGCAGACTAAGTAGCCATTCTGCAGGACAATAACTCTGGTGAGCCAAGCAGTGGTGAGCAGCTGGCAGGTGATGAGGAATAACAGGATGATCCTTCCACTTCACTGCCATAAGCAGAAGAGACCCAGAGTGGAGGAGATTACTCTGCTTATGGACACATTAGCATCTGAGATGCTCAGTCTGCACTTCCTTCCTGGTCAAGGGTCCACTGTAGCCATGGATTAAGGTTATTACTTACCTTACCCTGAATTTTTGTTTAAATAGGACAGAAGAGTTGTGCTCCAAAAGTTGCTTTATTTCCCACTGGATATAGAAGAAGCCTAACTAAACTTCAGACTTTTTGATCAAACTGAGTCTGGCCAAACACAATAGAGTGCTTTACCCTGAAGGTGAAGTTCCACCTGAGACACAACCATCATGATTTGATTAGTGTCTTAGTTAAAARGCAAAATCACCAGCAAGGCCCAGCTGTGGGGGAAGTTCATCCCTTTTCTTTCYAACCTGGTTTTAGCACTCAAACCCATAAACTTTCACGGGAAGGTAAACTGGCCAATAACATAAATTCCACAGCAGCCCATCCCAACCCAACCTTTTCCTCCCCTCCCTTCAGCTGATGAACTGTTGGCCTTTACAAAGTGATAATCAAAGACCACACAAAGATAACGACTCATAATTGTCAGGGTGGAGCTTTGCCAGCTCTAGGGAGCTCCTCATGGTGTGTTCTTGTATAGGAATCAAACCAGCAAAGTGCTTGGAAGGTGTTTGACCACTCCAGCATCTGGTGAGAACTTGAAGCAAATGTTAAGTGTAGCTTTTGGAGTGTCACTTATTTTTGAAGCTGAAATTTTGTGGTTTTGTTTTTTTTTAGTTTTTTTCCCCAGCAGATGAGCATTATTATGACTACTCTGGGGAAAAAAAGGGAAGTTTTCAAACTCTAATGAGCATCTCATGAATTTTGGATGATCCCAGGGCAGCCATGCCAAAAATGCGCAGGTGGATACTGAGTTGAGTTTTTCTACAATGTTGACTTTGAATGAACTGGGCACTTTATTGGTGAAATGGATGTTTAAAGGCAAGTTTTGCCTCTTCAGATAAACCATCGAGATATTTTATACTCAAGCACTGATTTTCAACRAAGCTCCAGACCARGCTGCTCCAAGCCCTGACCAGCCTGCCCTTGAACATTTCCAGGGCTGGGGCATCCACAGCTGCTCATGGAAACTTGTTCCAGTATTTTGTAGATGTTTAAGTGACCCATGAAAGACAAAAAGAGGCTGTGGGTGCTGCTGGGAGCTTGCCTGGTTTCAGCCTTGTTTGAGGGCACTGATTGCTCTCAAGGGCATTTTAGGGTTGTCTCTGTTACTTGTATTTATTTAGTAAAAGTCTCTTAATACACCGTTCCTTCTGGATTGCTTTGTGTGCACATTTTACAAACTTGGAGAAACTTCAGGGTTCATTTCCACCAGCCGAAGAGCAGAGATGGAAATGGGGAAGGACAATCTTGGAAATGGTGTTTTGCTTTCTTACAGCAAGGAGAATAAAGTCTACCCTTGGCAGGGGTTAGGATGGAGCATGGGTGACACCAGACTGCTCTGAAGCTTTGGTCTTTACCTCCTTAACTCGCACTGCTGTGACTGAGAGGAACAGAGGGAATCTTAAATTTTACCGTTTTGCTTTTTTGCAGCCTAAAGAAGGACACTTCTGTTCTCTACCCTCCTCTTACTGAAGTCACCTCTCATTTTGCCCWGAGAGACTATGGACTTCTCATCCCTGAAATAGTTCAAGGCCAGATGGATGGGGCWTGGAGAAACCTGATCTAGTGGGAGGTGTCCCTGCCCATRGTAKGGRGTTGGAACTGKCTGATCTTTAAGATCCCTTCCAACCCAGACCATTCTATGKTTTTAGGATTTTCCTGTGGGGTGATGTTCACAGGGAGGCACAGCTTCGCTGTCCCCATTCTCGAGGCAGATGAGTCAAGGGATTCTCAAGTCAGGGGTGCTCCAAGGACTTGGAATCAAACTCTTGGCAGGGGTTTGTGTCTCATAAACAGGACATCACAGTATGGCACCTACGGCRTTTTCTGCTTCTTTGTTAAATAAAGAGCATGGAGAAAGAGATTTTATTTTCTAAATTTCTTGTTCTTTCTGATCCCTCTGAGTTGAGCTTTCTTTAGTATCAAAGCTTGGAGAAGAAGGGAAAAGGAAGGGAAACCTCCAGAGGTTTCAGGAAAAGGAGAAAGAGTAATTTTTTAATATCCCTCATCAAGTAGAGATAAGGCTGACTGAACCCCTGCTGACAGCAGGCTCTGCTTTGTTTCCACAGTYTCCATTGAAGATATTCGGGATGTGAGGTCAGGCCATAAAACAGAAGGTATGGAAAAATACGCCAAGGATGTCCCGGAGTATCGCTGCTTTTCCATCATCTTCAAAGACCAGAGGAAAAACCTGGACCTCATTGCGAGTTCAGARGATGATGCCAACCACTGGATCGCCGGCCTTGGGAAAATCATCGCCCACAGCAACTCCATGAACCAGAAACAGAAACTCCAACAGTATCCTTTGCCTTACAAAGTGGTTAATCACAGACAAAGATGCACTTGTCTTTCCCTGTGGGTGGGGATAGTAGACTAACCTCCTTTTTTCYCTGCTGGCCCTGGGCACTGAGTTTTCTCTTGCACTGATTTTGCACCCGGGCAACTTCCCTGGTTTCCAGTGCTTTTCCCTCCTGTTTTACAATGATACCAGCAAGAGTGGAGTCAGGCTTAATGTAGCTCCTTAAGCAAAGAATTCCCTCTTTCATGGAGCTCCAGATAAAACAATCATTATTTTTTTGTGTTCTTCAGGGGTCTGTTTCACTTGCTTTGCAGTAAGCTCCAGGACAGGCACTTCTTGGCAAGGCATGAAAAGCCTGTACTGTTTACCGTGCTTCTCGGTAATACAAGGAGAGGGAACTGATTCTCCTCTTCTCACTGCCAAATTTACTCCAGGGTAGCTCCACTGACTTGAGTGAAATTACTCCTTATTTGCCTCAGCATGGGAGGAAATTTTGCCCTGAAAAAAAATTTGCAGTTGCTCTAGTGACAATGCAGCAATCAGAAAGGAAAAGGAGCAGAGCAGGAAGGGAGAGTGAATTTGTTGTGAAATGGAGAGGGGTTGGTTATTGGGTAAAATCCTCTCTCTGCTGGATTCACAGGAAATTTTCCCTGGGGCTGCATTTCACTCAGTAAGTTGCTTTGCAAACAGAGATCTCATGTATATAAAGAGAGAATATCYGTGGGTGCAGTTTGGGATGGATTTTCTTCAGTCCCTGTGTGTCTGACACTGACCATGACATCTGAACCYGCTGGCTGATTTCACCCTGATTTGACAGAGCTGCAGCAGTCATGAAATATTAAGTTCCTTTGAGCTTCCCAAAGGTAGATATTCAGCTCTCTGAGAGGAAAGCTGATATCACGCTCGGGGAAGGAGGGCTGGGTGGGCTTTATGGCTTGTTTGACACCAGACATCAGAGAGGAGGGGAGATACAAAATCCTCAGCTGGGGAAAGTCACAGAGCTGGAATCTGAGCAGACACCAGCAAGTCTTGCCCTCAGTTAAGTCTTCACTCCATGTGGGTTCTCTGCTGGGTCATAATGTACTGATGTGAAGGAGATGGTGCATTAATGCTGAGCTTTCAACAGACTTTACTCTTCTGCGCTTCTCTGAAGTCTGAGAAGCACTTTCACCGTGCTGCTCACTTAAAGGAATCAGACTGCATTAGTTCTGATGTGCCTGAGATGCCCTGTTTACCTCCTGCACTGAGTGTACTTTTTCAGATGGTTTTTCTAGCTCCTCAGCCACCCCACAGTGGGTAGGGGAAAATCTGGGCTACAGAAATTTGTCCCTGGAGCATATCAAGTTAAATATATTGCTGAAAAACTTGCCCATAAGATGAGGCAAGATTGTTAAAGGGGGAAAAATAACAATGACATTTGCAAGGGAAGAAGGCTGTAAATTTCCAGCATGGAAAGTGCCTTTCTGTCTTTGGAAAGCAGAATCGAAGCTAAATAGGGTGGGTAGGCAAACCATATTTCTGGAAGAGTAATTACTGTGCAGTGCTGGCTTCCAATCTGGGCTTGTCTCAGGCCATTTAACGTAACCTGGAATTACAGAACAGCATGATTTCTCATTTGAAATTTGATGATGTTTAATTAAAGCCTGGGATTTTAAATTTAGTCTGCCTTCACTGGGTTTGCTTGGCAGCGTGGGCTTGCTCAGATCTTCCTTAAACCTCAGGAGTGTTCTCYGCATCTGTGAGCACAGAAGGGGAAGAGTAGGAAGATGAGAAGTGTTGTGTCCCCTGCCTGTCCCCCCTGACTGGAGAATTGCCTTGCAGGGTATCTTTTTCAGCCTCCCAAAGCCTTGAAAAACAAGTAAGGAATGTGCAAGTTTTTRAAAACAAGATTGAAAGCAAAACCCCTGTTATTTTCAGATGAGACTTGTTCAGTTTATAGCACAATGTGGTARAAAGGGACTGGATTCAGTGTCTTATGTATTTTTCCAGTCCTGTGTTCCTACACAGATAAAACTCCCACATGCTTGATGAGCATTTCTGATATTCTTATACACCCAGTTCTGTTTTAATAAGCCTCAGATTCAACCTTGCAGCAAGCTGGCGTGGGTTGTTCAGCAAATATTGCAGGTATGTGTGCAGGGAAGAATTCAGACCAGAAAATACAGAGGACTTTTCATTTGAGCAGGGTAGCACCGTCTACTTCGGTCCTGGGGTTTATGTGTGAGCTTTTCTTCTGGTTTGAAAGCACTTACCAGAAGTTCTGCAGCATTTCTGTTCTGAGCACATTCRTGGGATATCTGCCAGATGGTTTCAGTCATCCTTCTTTGGTTTCTAATAGAAAGCTGGTGTCCCTGGAGCTGTCATATCCTTTACAAACAAAAGGCAGAAATCTCTGGATGTACACAGAAATGGGAGCAGCTTTTCCCAGTCCACCTGGGCCCACAGAGGGGAGGAAGGTGAAAGGAAGACCYGTAGCCAGGACAGAAAAATGGTGTTTGTACCAGATGAGAGGACTTTCAGTTGAAGTGTTTAATTCATCAAGCTCCTCTGAGCTCTCCCAAAGCTGAGGGGAGCCAGATGGATGTGGAGTTTGGGGTGTTTTGGGGTCAGAATGCTGCTCTTTGCTGAAACAAGAGGCTGAGATCTCAGCTGCTTTTGTAGCAAGAGGACCCACTGTGTGTGCCTGGGCTCTCTGATTTCCCTCCTGCATTTCTCARCCTCCTGGGAAGGTATCTAAAAGAAAAACATCCTCCATTCACAGGTAGAACCTGGACACACTCTTTTGTAGATGCATTTACTGCCCAGAGAGGAGTCTGGGTATGTTCATGACCTCTGGGCACTCATTATCRGAGGAAATGATGCAGACTCTTGAAAAAGGTGGGGTTATTGCAGTGGTTTGCACAAACCCAGTAGTTTCTATGCACAAAAGAGTAATTTGTACCACCCCTGCTGCTCGCCTCTGTAGCAGACTGGATTTCCTCTTGCCTCACCAGAGCTGGGTGTTCCTCCAGCCTGWTGTTTTTAGGGAAGGCTGTGAAGGGGAGCTGAGGTGCAGGGTCAGGTGTGAATGGGTGGCACCAGGGTGACAGCCTGAGCAGACTCTGGAGCAGAGCTGATGGAGGGGGTGTTCTGCACCCTGGGGTGGGTGTGGTGTGCTCCCATCCTCTGCTCATGGGAGCTCCATGACTCAAACTTGATTTTCTGGGAAGAATCAATCCAAGCCAGATCCTGGTTGAGGGCTCTGGAGTGTCCTTGGGAAATGCAGCCTGTCTTTATTTTGGTTTCCATGTCTAAAGAAGGGGAATATTAATATTACCAGGCTGAGACGGRTGTGGGGTGAGGTCATTGCTTAGCACCTGCCAAGATTTTTAAAGTCAGAAAGTTCAGCTTTCCATGAGACAAAACAATACTCACAAACAGTTTACACGTTTCTCCATCACTAGGAAATATTTCAGGGCAGGGGTAGCTCTGGTGAACACTGTTTCAGGGTTATGTCTACAGCCCCTAAGGCTGTCCGTGCCCTTTTTTGAGGTCATTTTGAAAGGCCCAATTTAAATGTTACAGCACTATATGCCTCAGCTGGTATTTGCTAATCCTGAGCTTTACTCTGATTAACATTCACACTGGGCATTTTTTTGAAGTTTTTCTGGAACGAGTTTGAAGCATTGTTTCCTATGTGACACATGGAAGGTTATTCTTGGAGATCAAATTCTTACTTTGATAGTTTTTTTCTATTGAAAAGTGGATATTTTTCTGGATGACCTTTCTCATTTGACAGTAAAGCAAATTAGTCAGTTCCATGATGCAAAAAGCATGGATTTTTTTTTTTTGTGTGTTTTAAACTTCAGTGTGTCTCTACTGTCRGACATTATTTTCCCAAGAGAGTGAAAGAAATTGGGAGACCCAGTCCAAATTACCTGATATCACCTTGAAAAGCTCATTCTTGTAGCAATTATTCCACATCCATAGATATACTGAAGTGATTAAAAACCAAGTTTTTATGAAATATTATCACAGTGCAACACAGTAACAGACCCTGTGCATTTCRTCAGGGGAGGCCAAGACCCACAAAGTTTGGTTTGATTCTGTTCACCATAAAGTTCTTAGGACATATAGATAGAAATCCCTAAAAATATGCTGAAGGAGAATTCAGAAATTATTACTGATACTTATTTGGAGTTAGGCATTCACTGTTATACACTGAATGTTGAACAGATCCATGACAATGAATTTGCCAAGCTCCTCTTGGGAGCTCTTTTCATTCTTTCCTTTATCCCCTTTTCACCGTCTGGAGCAGAATGTACTTTCTGTCATAAAAGAGAAATCAAACTGTTTCTGGCTGTGGCCAGAAACTCCTACAGGGTAAAGAGAGCTKCTCCAGCCTTGGCCAGATGGTGAAAAGCTTCTCCTGGGTCACGATCAGTTGTATCAGAGTGCATTTTCCTTCTGCCAAAGCGCGGTTGTGCTGTGGGAGCAGAAGGTGAGCTGCTCTCAGCTGTTCTGGGGGCCCACAGCAGCTGGAGAAGTGACTCAGAGCCTTTAGGAGAGGGTTCCCCCCCTGCCATGTGCAGCATGTGCAAGAAGGAATTTAGGTGTTTAGGSTGGGCACTGACCTGGAAAGATTTCCTTACATCACCCCGCAGCTGGATCCACACCTGCCTGCGGAAAGCTGATAAAAACAAAGACAACAAGATGAGCCTGAAAGAGCTCAAAGACTTCCTGAAAGAAGTGAACATTGAAGTCGATGACTATCATGCCAAGAAGATTTTCCAGGTAATGGGAGCAAGCAGAAAAAGGGTGTGCTGTTGGCTGAGGTCAAGGTTTCCCACAGCTTTCACCTCAGCTAAAGTGWACTTCTGGCTTCTTTTCTTGTACCAAAGAAGGACTCTCAGTTTTTGGTGCTCAGCAGATTCCCACTAAGTGGGGCCAGCACAGTGCTTTTGATGTGGGTGTGTTCAGATCTTTCTTCATAATTGATACCTTATTTTGCCACAAAGCAGAAAATGAGATGCAGGCGTGGATAATGCAAGAAAAAAGGAAGCAAAGTTCAAGGCCCAGGTGTTTCAGAGTTTTATGTGCCACAGCTACATGTGAATGCCTAAGTCTGGCTGAAATTTGGTTGCAATTGTGATACCAGATCCTCACCTTCGCAGAGGAGAAGGGTGCCAAGTGTCAGGTGAAAACAAAAAGAAAAAAAGTGCAAATTAAGAAAAAAAACCTTTCCAGATTCATGATAGATACCCAACATTGCACCRAAGCCTGGACGAGTCTGATTGATTTAATACTCCCAAGGCATATTTAATCTGGTCAGGGATGTACACTTCTAAATTCTTAAGATTCAGCTTGCTGGCTGAGCCCATCAGAAAATAAGAAAGAGATGAAAATTTCTCAGTTGTTAAGCTTTTGGTTTTTCTCTCTAGAGAATCCATCCTGCTGAGGTRAGATAAAACATCTGGATAATTTCCAAACCTCCATCCCGTCTGAAGCAGGATTTGAATTAATGGGTGTGCAGTTTCAGAAATGTTTTTTTTCTGATCAGTGGTAAACATGTAGGTGGTTTTGAGCACCAGTCAGTTCTCCTGCTCCTCCCTGTGAGCAGCCAGCCTTCCCCAAAGGAGGTCCAAGATTCCTAATCCTTGCTGTAYAGACAACTCTGATCAATCAGCAAGAATTAGGGGGAAGGTCATCAGCAGACCTTAAAGAATTTCAGCTTGCAGAATATTCYGGTTATACTGCCTACTCTGGCTGGTGTATCCCATCCTTTATTCCCTTCCAGCAAGACCCTGGAGGAATGGAAATAAGGCTGGGAATCCACTGACTGAGCTGTGTTTCTCCACTGGAAATGGTTGCCAGCACTTCCTTTGCAGTCTGGGCAGGTGAAGCCAGAAGGRACCAGGGTGTGAATCTCATTCTAAAGGGTACATTTCATATAGGAGATTAATCACTCCTACATCTTCAGATAACAACAACCTGAAAAAATCACCCTTGGTTTGGTTATTTTATTTTATTATTTTTATTTTAATTTTTTTTCATAAGCACAGCATCTTATTTAATGGATCTCTTTTGCTGTCACAATAGTTACAAGGGGGCTCTAGGAGAGGAAACCTGATGAAGTTAATTCTTTTTGCTTAAGGACTTGGAGTAATGGCTAAACCTTGATTCAACCCATTGAAATGCAGGGAATTAGTTGAAGTACCATCATTAGGCAAGTAATTGTTAAGTTTCCTGTATAGCCACTGGAAARAGAGGCTCTTTGGAGGTTAATACAGATCTCTTGAGGGCTGATTTGCCTCCAGGAAGGGTCTGTCTTGCTCCTACAGCAATTACATTTTCAGTTTGCATCCTGCCTCAGCWTAGGTGGACCAGGGCATTACAGCCTATTAAAGGGTGATTTTTTCTGTCTCAGAGAGGTTTTTCTTCATTTAGTCACAGGAAGGAAGGGTGACCAGGGGTTCAAGAGGGGGCTGCAGGGCACATTCTCACATTATTCTTGCCTTTCATCACATGAGTCTGTGTCTACATCTAGCTTCGAGACACCTGAGTAAAATGTATGCAATGCAACCAGAAATTATGCAGAGCTCCTCTCATTGCTCACTTCATTTCAACCTGAATATTCATTTTGGGGCATCAGAAAGGTGCTTTTTCTGACAGGCCAAGGGTCATCCAGGACTCATGGTTTGTGATTCATACATGGGAGGTAAAACACAGGATTTTGGGTTGAGATTCTCTTTCTAATTTGGAGCTCTCATAGCCAAAGCAGAAGGAACCCACTTTTTACCATGCATCTGACCTGACCTGGAGTTTGGTGCCAGTGCTATTGTCCTGTTTTCATCACAGGACAATAATCAAGTAATGGCAACTAATGAATAAATTTCCTGAGGTACATCTGTTAAAATGCCAGTTTTCTAGAAGTAATATTGTGTCACTTTCCCTGTCATATCTTAAAGAAGAGAACATTTGTAATTCATGATACCCCTGCCGTCTCCACCAGCTGCTTTCCCTCTTTATATTCCTCTTGCAATTGCTAAGCATCAAGCTCAGCTTAGCTTGAGGGATCTGCCAGAGCCACAGCACAGGCTCATGGACATGGAAGGCAGCAGGGAAAAGGCAGTTCCTGGACTCTCAAACCTAATTTGGAGGTGTTTGTAGTACTGAGTATGTCACATCGCTGAGATGAGCCCAGAGCTTCTACCCAGCAGATTCTGAAGTCAGCACAAGTTGAACACCTTTTTTTCTGTCATCTCAGTTTGTGAAATGCTGGGCATCATGATAATGTTCTTTGGTTTTATATGAGCTCCATAAACAGATAGTGAAGGATTTGCAGGGGATGAAARTCCCTCATTATCATCTTGCTTGGAACACTGCCAAAGCCATCATGGCCATCTCTGAGATCACTGGCAGAGCTAGGTTGAGATTAGTATGATGACTGGTGAAACTAAGACATGCGTTTTCATCACAAAAGTCAGGAAAWTAGATCTATCTGTCACAAGGATCAAAGATGGAAAGCAATTTAATTCCTCTGGTTTGACAAGTTGAAGAATTTCTGCTAGGAACAAACAAAAAAATTAGTATCGGGATTTGCCACAGGGAAAAAAAAAAAGGTTTCTGATGAAAAATTGAACCTGGGAGTACTTTAAACAAACTGGAAATACTTGTTATTGGAAAAGCTGTTGTCCTTCATGGAGACATTAACATGCATATCTCAAGCTCCTAATCTGTCATGGTCAATCAAGTCCTTGGCTGTGGTGCTCTGTCAAATATGGTATCGACTGGAAAAGTTCAAACCCCAGAGGAAGATGGATGCTCTGAATTACAGTTCCTTGAGAAGATTATGTCTGATTTGCAATCTATGGGGATTTTGTTACTTGGCATATTTTAGAAGAGAATGGAAAGTTTCTGTGTAGCAGTGGATTTCTTTCATACCTAGACATGCATGTGTTTAGCAGTTGTGGGGTTTTTTTAAGTTGGTTTTGAGTTGCTTTGAGTCTTGTCAGCCTCTTGTGGTCTGAGCTGCTAAGGTCAAGGGTAGGGTTCTTTTCACTTTACTCACAGGATTTTAGGCTACAATTTCTATAATTGTTTAAGAGAGTTAATTGTTTCCTTTTATTTCTCCTGAGATCAAGGGTTACATTTCTTTTGACCCTTGATTTGTGCATAGATTAATTTGAGCAGTCCTGACTGAAGCACACCAAGCAATGGAACTCAAGGTCATACCTGATGCTTTTGAGCACACTGATAATACAGAAATACTGACAATTGTAATGTTCTATGAATATTGGCCTTGTCAATGAGAACCATTGTCATTGACCAAGTGCTTCTCCCTCACTGGCCAGTAACTCWTTCCAATTATTTTGTGTTCTGCGTTGTGTAGCCCTGGTGCAGATTACGGCTGGCCTATGCCAAAAGGAAAGAAGGTTTTCACTCCTTCTCCCCTCTACGTTTACAGCACTGTGACAAGTCCAAAACAGAGGCTCTGGAGGATGATGAGATAGAGGAATTTTACAAGATACTGACAGAGAGGAAGGAAATAGACAGCATCTTCCAAAGGTATTCAGACCCAGAAGGGTTCATGTCCTGCCAGAACCTGGTGAGGTTTCTCTATGAGATGCAGCAGGAAGAAGATGCYGTTGTTGCTGCCCCTGCCTTAATTCAGAAATATGAACCCAACGAAAGAGGTAGGTTGAAAACCCTGGCTGGTTTGGTTCAAAATCTTGCTTTTTTTGATGAACTATGAATTGCATTGCTGCTGCTTTTTTTCTGCAAGTCTGTGTATTATTTTTTCCCCGCAGCTGCTTCGAAAACACCACTCTCCTAGGGGAACATTAGCAGCTTGAGGAGAGGAGGGCAGAGGAGATTCTGGGAATCTCTCTCTCCAGTTTTATTTTGGGTGCACTGAACAGCAGGAGAGGGGTTGATACAGGGGTTGAACTAGAGGATGATGAAAATTCTGGGAGACTCAGATGGGTTATTCAAATGCCAAGACCTCATGTGGCTTTTCAAGGTTGAGAATGTAGCAATATTTGTGTTCTCMAGAAGCTGGAGTGGAGGCAGATGTTCCTGATGGTGGGCACCTGTAAAGCCATTGGGTAAGGGGATCTCTGAGGGGAGGTCAAGGCAGTGCCAGCTGTTTAGGAGGGCAATCCCAGAGCAGGGATGTTTGGAATGCAGGAGAATCATCAGCCTGGAGCACCTTGGAGGATGTGTTCCAGGAACCAAGCCAGGGTCATGGGCTGCCTTTGAGCTGCCCTGGTATTCTTCCAGGAGAGGGACAAGGTTTTGCAGCTGTCAGACTTTAGGATTAGTCTGAGATCTAGCTCAGTCCCTCAAAATGGGGAAAAATCAACTTCTTCCCAATGCTGGGGGAATTTTGTATTTCCTCTTTGCAAATCATGTATTTCACTGGATAATCTAGACAGGATTTATCTGGCTGTGTTTAGACGTCTGACAGCTCCTCTGGCTCGGTGTAGAGAAACCTTGAAATGCTCAAATGGAGATTTTTATGCCGTAAATCTCTAGAGACAGATGAGGTAAGGTCTGACACTTTTAAGATGTTATCAAGGCCAGTRAGTGTCATAAAGAGGCTTTAAAAGCATTTTCAGGCAGCTGAATGTGTCATCCCTGTCTGGAGAGCATCGATGTCATTGCTGTTACCGAATGGATTTGCCTGGGGAGCACTTTGTGTCTCTGAGATCCCCTGGAGAGCAGAGGCTCTGTGCTGAAGGTGATGGCACAGCCTGGTGGTGTCACATTTTCAGCATGGGGTTTTCTGTCTGTTTTCCTGGCAGCCAAGAGGGGCAACGCCATGACCAAGGACGGCTTCCTGATGTACCTGCTGTCAGACGAGGGGAACATATTCAACCCCTCCCATCGGAAAGTTTATCAGGACATGACCCAGCCTCTCAGTCACTACTTGGTGTCATCCTCACACAACACCTATCTCATGGAAGACCAGATCACAGGGCCAAGCAGCACAGAGGCCTATATCAGGTAGAGTGTGTGTGTCTGTGTGTGTGTTTGGGAGGTTAACCWCTCTCTTTCAGAGGATAAAAGTGTCTGTGCTGATGGATGCAAGAGGATTGAGAAGCAATCTCCCACCACACCAGGTAATATGGGCTGACCCCTGTGCCCAGGGTGAGCTGTTTCTGWACCAGGCTGGCTGTGCCCTCCTTTGCACAGAGCTTTGACCTTTGGGTCTCATCTGGTGTCTACCTGAGTGTAAGGAGTATTATCACTGCATTTGGAAGGAGGATAAAATATCTTCAGTCACATGGAGGATGGATTGCAGCTCTCTAACCCAGTGTTCTCTAAACATGWTGCTGAGGAGGTGTTGCACTCCCCAAAATACGTCACAGGAGAGTGCAAGGAGCTTACAGGATACAARGACTTCTGTGACAGCTGCAGGTTTGTATAGGGACTGGAAGGAGCCAAAATGATGCACAGTGTCATATTACTTGTGCACTGGACTGCCTTTTGGGAGAAAGGAATTTCCCTACAACCATGCTGGTGTTTGTTTTGGAGAGACATAGTTGGAGCAATCAAAAAAAAGAGAGACAGAGTGTGAGCTGATGGAGCAGGGGGAATGATCAAGACACTTACACCTGCTCCCTCTTTAGCATCCCAGATATTGGTACAGSAGCCCTGCACAAAGCACTGGGTGTTGGCTCAGTCTGCTTTTAACAGAGGCTGATGTCTCATGGCCAGGTGGRTGCAGTGACCTTTAGTAACTTACACACCCACCTTACATTATTCCTYGTTTTTATCAGGTGAGACAGTGTTTCCTTATGAGCCAGTCAATGACTGCAGTTCTGTCTTTGTTTATGACTTGTCTGATTCTCAGCAGCAATGACTGTCTGGAGTCACAAGGTCAAAAGTGTAGAGCATGAAATCTGGCACAAGATGCTTTTCAGTAGCACTTCGAATTCCTCTAACAGTATCTTATAAATACAGRTGTATGTTTTGGTTGTTAAAAAAAGTGTCCTGTGATTCTGGAATAGGTTTTCCAGAGATGCCGTGGCTGCCCCTGGATCCCTGGAAGGTTTCGAGGCCAGGTTGGATGGGGCTTGGAGCATCCTGATCTAGTGGAAGGTGTGCCTGCCCATGGCAGGGGGTTGGAACTTTACCCTTTAAGGTCCCTTCCAACCCAAATCATTCTGTGAATCTGTGATTTTATTGCAATGAGTTAAAGGAGTTGTGTAGTCAAAAATGTTTAGGGAGTTACAGTGAAAAAGACAAGATTGCCTTCCAAACCGGTAAGCAGGGGGGATCTACATTTGGAAGTATGGATATGTAGAAGTGGGAATTTCATGTGGAAATTTACTCTGTAGACACAGTTTGGGAAACGGGCCCTCAGCAGTTGCCCTAATTGGGGAGGAGTTCCCACAGCTCCCTCCCCCCCTGCTCTGAGGATTCATCTCTTGGTTCATAGCTGATACAGAAGAAGAAATCACGTTATCCAAGCTTTGTGGCCTGTGTTCTTAGGCTGACTGTCATTCTTCCAGTGCAGCCACTCTTGATCTTCTCTTCTCTTCACCATCTTTGGGGAAAGACTTGGGGCACAGTCATGACTGTCCTTTCTCATCTTGCTATGTCTTATTCTTTGGATAATTCTACCTTGGATTTTCACTACCTTATTTCTCAGATCCTTCTGTGCTTTCCTTGCTCAACCTTGAGCTCTCTTTGCTGGCACTGAGCTCACCTGATCCCCTCCTTTATCTGCTTTCCTGTTTTTCCAAGCTCCTTCCTTCTTCCTTGCTCCCTGAACTTCTTGTCAGTCTTCCCAGGTAGCACCTGTGCCTGCTGCACCCTCACTTGGAGGTGGAGCAGAAGGTGTGGAACCCAACCAGGAGGTCCCTTCTTTGTTTCCAGAGCCCTCACCAAAGGCTGTCGCTGTGTGGAGCTGGATTGCTGGGATGGCCCCAACTCGGAGCCCGTCATTTATCAYGGCTACACTCTCACCTCCAAGATCCTCTTCAGTGATGTCATTAAGGCCATCAAGAACTATGCATTCAAAGTAAGGATGAGGGACCTTTCCTCATGTTGCACAGCCCAGGACTGGCAGTAGATCTCTTCCCTCCCAGCAGAGASTATAAGCAATGAAGGCTTCACCTTAGCATTTCTCATGGGGACAAAATGTGTCCTTCTGTCTGAGCATCCATGCTCTGCTTCCTGCAGAGATCCTTTCCTGGGAGCTGCTGGACAGGGAGAGCACCATCTGAGGATGAGTTTGAACCTKTGCCAGCACAGCTGCATCCTGTATCCCACTGCAGTGAAAATGACACCCAGAATCTTGAGTGTACCTGACGGAAAATGCCAACAAGCCCATGAATTGTGTGGCTTTGATGTCTCAGGGTTCATTTCTAGTTTAGAGGAACTCATGTGCATATTTTGGCTGTGAAGGAATGYTTCTATTCTGCTTTGAAAGGGCTTGAGTCCTGTATGGCAGCAGCCTTCAAAAAGCCTTGGGTCTGCCCAGACTCATTGGGCTTTGTGCTGTTTTCCTCCAGTGCATTTGGGAGCAGGTGTTGAGTTTCCTTTGGGGCCAGATGAAGTAACAATGACAATAATGGCAATGCCCTCAGCGCACAAAATGACCTGGGGGGCACAAGGAACCAGGTCAATCCTATGCAGGAATGGAGGAAGGATTGGTATCACTTAAGGATTTGAGCAAACCCTGTCATTTCAAAGCCCCTTTCCCAGTCCTTCCTCTGAAAGTGGGTAGGAAGGTGCTCTGACCCACAGTGCAAGGGGAGAATGGAGGCACAGGGAGTGCCCCAGAAAGTCTGTGAGAGGCATCCTGACCCATCCTGGTGTCCTGTCCATTGGATCATCATCTCTGGAAGGCATCAGCACAGATCTGATTAACTGCTGCACAATTAAATTTGTACATTTTAAACAAATCCTCTCTTTAGGAGAATAGCAATGTTGACACACTCATTTCCAGAGAAAACAGCACTGGGGTTTACACCAATTGCTCCAGGCTGGTGACACTGCAGAGCTCACTGATGATGTGTGTTGCTGTCTTGTTGCAGACCTCACCGTACCCTGTGATCATCTCCCTGGAGAACCACTGCAGYGTGGACCAGCAGAAGGTCATGGCTCAGCACATGACCACCATCCTGCAGGACATGCTCTTGGTCGCCCCAGTCGATGGAAAYAAATCCCAGTTCCCATCCCCAGAGGTAAGCAACGACACTCCAGCACTTTCTGTCTTCTGAGGATGGGATAAGAGGGAAGCTTTTCTTCTTGCTGAGTGAAAAAGCTCAAACTCAAGGGGAAAATCACTGTAGTAGCCTGGAAGTCAAAYAAATACAGTGTCCTCCCACTGAGAGTGGCCTTGGGTGGACACTGGGAATGGCCTGGGTTAGTGGGGATTCAGATGTCCATGAAGGAAAAGGGAAGCAGAAGGCTGCCCAGAGATGTCCCTTTTATTCCCAGGAATCAGGGCAGCCGTCAGACTGGAAGCTGAGCCCTGACCTTGCAAGGGAAAGGAGATACACAGCCATCAACAGTGGACCACCACTATAAAATCATTAGCTGACAAAAAAAAATTTGAAATGGAATCTTGATGTGAAAAAAAGTCTCCAAAACAGGAGACAAAATGAAACATTCATCTGTTTCATTTGTTTTGTGTTTCCTTCCTTCCTTCCTTCCTTCCTTCCTTCCTTCCTTCCTTCCTTCCTTCCTTCCTTCCTTCCTTCCTTCCTTCCTTCCTTCCTTCCTTCCTTC